GATATCTTATTCCTAAATTCTCGTTCCTCTTGAAATTTATACGAAAAAATCGGCAAATCGGCTCGGTCTGTAGAGCCAGTTGAATCGAGAGCAAAGAACGTGAAAGCAAAATTACCCAAATAAGAGCCAAAATTGCATCGCAGGAGGTACCTCGCGAACAAACGAATAAATCAACGTTTCTCCCAAAGACCGAAATCACGAAACCCAACACGCCTCGTTATCGCCCTTGAAAAGAAAGATTCTCCTCCATGCCGTTAACTGTCTGTTCCCGAATCGACCATAGTGATTATCCCATTTATTCCCAGTCCGTCGACCATTTTTCAAAAGAATCTCTCGAGTCTGGGGAAAACAGCGAAGAATAGAAAGAACGAAAAAGAGATGTTAATATGCGGAAAAATAATCGATCACCTTGGAGAGATATTCTTCTTATCGTCATCGAGTTACAGGAAGGAGTGAAGTGACGATCACTATTTTTTTTATCATAACATCTCAAAGTGAAGATCACCGATTTCGACGAAATTTTGGGTTGTGATAGATCTCAAAGAAATATTCGACACGTATTTTTTTAAATCAGCAATCTTCCACGTTGAAGGGACGATAGTCGCCTCCAAAGTTAGGAAAAGGGGTAGTAAACATATTTAGTGTAACACCTCGAAAACTATTAGAGACAGAAGAATAGTATAAATTGGCGAATTTTATATTTTTCAAAATAAAAAATTCACCGATTTTTTTTTATCATAATATTTCAAAATGGTAATCACCAATTTTGACGAAATTTTGGGGTGTGATAGATCTCAAAGAAATATTCGACACGTATTTTTTTTAAATCAGCAATCTTCCACGTTGAAGGGACGATAGTCGCCTCCAAAGTTAGGAAAAGGGGTAGTAAACATATTTAGTGCAATATCTCGAAGACTATTAGAGTTAGAAGAATAGTATAAGTTGACGAATTTCATATATCTCAAAAATAATTTCGACCAAATACAGTTCATCACTCTCATCTTTAATGCCAATTTTCACCCTTCCAACGTGAACCATTGCAGACAAAAAAAAAGATGTGACAAATATTTCTTTTAATACCACAATATACCAAAGTTTCAGTAATATCGATACCTATCACCTCACAAAATTCCCTTATCAGTAATACTTCCCTACTATCAACACCACCAAAAATAACGTATACAATCGAACCACCCTGCACGTTAAAATCTCAACGAAACAATTTTGATTACCCTCTAAAAACACCAACTTATCCTCCATCGAGCTGTTAACAATTATCTCCACGGTACAGCACAATCAATCTCTCCTTACTCCACCCTTTTTTTCCCCCTCAACTGAGATGGTGATTCTTCTCGAAACGATAAATCGCGCAACTCCAAGCAAGAAATAATCCCCGGCGACGGATATATCCGCTTAACGAGAGGGCTGGATACAGTCGGATATTAAACTCGAGTCCACTTTATCGAAGTGGCCGGTTTACAAACTGCACGGCCGGCATAACTCATCGGACGGCGGTAGCTGGTCTAAAACCACGCGGTGGTAATAAAGGTCGGCCCTCGTGTCTTGCTTAATCATTGATATTAACCACTTTTAGCAAGGGCGACTGTTTAAGCTCGACCGATGTTGCGGCAATTTTCACCGACGAGCAGCACGTTGTTCGGCCATTGTGGCGCGTGAAAACGCGCCGCGACGGAAGATTGGAGTAGCGTCGACGGTTCAGCCGCGAGAATGGCGAAAGGAGGGATTACACCTGCTGGCGAAATTCGGTTTAACCCTTTCGCTGCTGGCAGTATTTGGGATAACGTGTGTGATAGACGATGGGTGGTCGATTTTTGCAATTAATGCGGGATTTTTCGCTTTATGTTTTAAGATTTTTTTAATCATTTTGGAATTGAAATGTTGATTTAGCGTTTTGAGTTTTTTTTTCTGTGTTGAAGTGGAGGTAGGGAGAGGACAAAATTAAGGATTAAATTAAGGCGAATGTGTGTCTTTAGGTGTTAATTGAAGTGAAAGGGTTGAATTTGAAACTCATTTCGCGGTGAAAATTTTGAAATTTGAAGCTTGGATGGTTTTGAGAATATTTTGCGACTTTTTAGGCGACGAGATACTGTGGGAATTTTTTTAAAGAGAAATATGCGAAATGAAGCACTATGAACGTATCCATAATTTTGGGAAATAAAAATAGTTGGCATAGTTATGAATTCGTGTAATATATTTGAGGAAAGAGTAATTTTTACATGATTTGGTTTGAGAAAAATATAATTTTGACCTAATTTGGTTTAAGGAGAATATAATTTTGACATGATTTGGTTCGAGAAAAATATAATTTTGACCCAATTTGGTTTAAGGAGAATATAATTTTGACATGATTTGGTTCGAGAAAAATATAATTTTGACCTAATTTGGTTTAAGGAGAATATAATTTTGACATGATTTGGTTTGAGGAAAATATAATTTCGACATGATATCGTTTGAAAAAAATAGAATTTTGACCTAATTTAGTTTGAGGAGAATATAATTTTGACATGATTTCGTTTAAGAAAAATATAATTTTGGCATGATTTGTTTTGAGAAAAATGTAATTTCCACATGATTTGGTTTGAGGAAAATATAATTTCCACATAATTTGGTTCGAGAAAAATATAACTTTGACCTAATTTGGTTTGAGGAGAATATAATTTTGACATGATTTCGTTTAAGAAAAATATAATTTTGGCATGATTTGTTTTGAGGAAAATGTAATTTCAACATGATTTGGTTCGAGGAAAATATAATTTCCACATGTTTTAGTTCAAAAAAGAAATATAATTTTGACATGATTCGATTCGAAAAAATCGAAGCAGTGACCTAGTTAAGGGTTAAACTGATTCACGGCGGATGTCTTGTGAAACACAGGTCACAAACTATTTCGGACATTTCAATTTTGCCCTCTCGCATGCACTCCCTCCGATTTATAATCTAGCATCGAACCAAGGTTAAGCTCAGGCTGATCCTCCAGGCTAATACTAGAAAACTGGAAATTGCATTTGTGCAGAATCTTGGCTACTCTTTGTTCATACCCTAATTTCGAGTACTGGGTCCAAACACTCTTCATTTGGCACAAAGTGAAAAAAAAAAAAAGGAGCAGAAATGTCGTTCCAATGATAAACTAGCGAAACTGCAGAAAACTGAATTTTCCAGGAGAAAAGAAAATTCATTTTGTCAATTATCTATTGGACAGAGGATGCTGGGTCAAATATGACCCAATACTAAAATCTTACTCTTACACAAACAAAACCACATTCTTTTATTTTACTAGGCACTGTGTCGCTTAAAATTATACAAACACGCCATAATTAGCATAAGAAACATATTTATAATATAAAAAGAGGAAAGTAGCGTCTTTCTTTCGAATGCTAATTAAAACAAAAAACACCTTAAATCTGGGTTACTGGTGAATAAAATAAAATAAAATCACTTGTGCGTGATTTTAACCATCAACTATGCAACACAACTCTTCCCCACAAAAAAAAAAAAAATAAAAATCGTGCATTCACCGTTAAACAAAAAATGCGTAACATATCTTAACCATTTGCACTCTAATGGTGCTTTCATGGCGACACGCGTAATTACTTTGCAGAACTTTAAAATGTAAAATTCAGGTTTTTTCTTGTTATCAGAATATTGCAAATTAACGTAACAAGTAGAAAGTAAAAATCCTTCTTTTTTTTTTCCAAAATAAAAGTGGATTACCAGAAGTTTCACTGTTAATCTTGTCAAAAAATGCTTAGAGTGCAAAGGGTTGAACTACAAATGAGCGAAGCGTGACAATTGAACCCATACCTAAATAAAGAGTACATTACAGGTCAGAGTGGTCCGAGTAAAAAGATGGATAATCCACTGAGCCTTGTTACATTTTATATTTCACGTTTAATCTCTGGTTAAAACCGCCCAAGTCGTATTTCCTGGAAATAATCCTCGTAATTATCATAAACGAGGATCATTTCACTCCGTAATAACCGACATCAGCAACATGTCGCAGAGTTCGACGCGTCTGCCTCTGCAACTGCAATTTCACGTAGTTTCCGTGTCACAAATAAAAATGGAAAGAAAGCAAAAAAAGGGGGGGGGGAGAAAAATAATGGCCCGGAGAGACGAGATGCAAAAATTTAATTACTAAGCTGCAATTGCGAACGCTCGTTTATGCCGCAGCCTCCATAAACGAGGCATCCACAGTTCCGTTCTTACGCGGCTAAAAGCTCCGAATCGCGAACCCATCGTGACCGTTTTTCACTCGTCGCCGCTCGTAAACGAAACAGACGCAATCGAGAGCCGTTTTTTCGACACTTTCTGCTCTTTTTTTTTCGCGCGGGAAAGCAACCGGGCTTGCCAAAAATTAAGGACGTCGAAACGACGATTCTTAATGAATTTTTTATTCATGTGGTGTCCAGAAAAAGAAACTTTAGCGACACAAGGTGACCCATAAATTTTGTTAACATTTAAAAATTGAATAATCTTTTCTCTATTGTACGTTTCAAAATTTTTACTTCATATTTTGAAAATTTATCATGGAACGCGACTTACTTTCGTAAAAATCTCGAT